CACCCACTCGCACCCCCGGTTCCCGCCGCCGCCACCAACCGCAGCAGCGCATCCACGCCTTTCAACCCCCCCCGGGACCCGGATCCTGGAACCCTGCGCCCCTTCGCCTGACAAACGAAGGCGCTCGGACGCTCGGACGCTCCTGCCAAGGCCCCCCTGTCGCGTTCCGTGGGTTAGGTGAGTTGAGGGGCCGCTGCGGGTGTGCCGTAAGTGGTAACTTAAGCGGTGCGCGGTAGGCGGTAAGCGGATGGTGGGTGAGGGTGAAGGTGAGGGTGTGTGGTTGTTAGGTGTACGACGCTGTCGCAGTGGGCGTGGGCGTGGGCGTGGCATCTCTCGCTCTCTTCCCCTTCGTCTAATAAACATCTCCATCCATCTCCATCTCCATCTTCCCTCCTCCTCCTCCTCCACACCCATCCTCCCGCCCTCCTCTACGCCCTCATCCCCAACCTCCCTCGGGGTTCTCTACACAAGAATCTTCTGTGGATTTCACCGTCGCATCCATCCCGCGGCTCCCTCTATCCCGTGGGCGACGACCGGTCTCGCTGCTTGCGAAAAAAGCCTACGCCGTATTCGTAATTGGCGCCGCCCGCCAGTCCGACCTCTGCGACACGGAGCCATATCTCGAGATCCAGACTGCGCGTGCAATCCTCAACAACACCACCACCCCCGCCAGCCGATTTACCTATAGCTTCATCCCATAGATTCAGTGTCGTCTGAAGCCTCGCTGCACCTCATCCGCCCGTCGAAACGAAACGAAACGAAACCTGTCGCGGTCTGCGGCGCACTGATCCCCGTCGGTCGCTGTCACAGCTAACGGAGGCGCCCCATCATCGAAAGCGCAATTGAGACGCCAACATCACCCCATCCATCTTGCGACGCGCGAACCCTTCTCTCCCGCCATCAACAACTCGCCATCGATCGCGAACGATGTCGATGTACAACCCGCATCGGGGCATGGGCCCAGCCGCGAGCAACGCCCGGCTCAATGAGTTGCTGGATGGCATTCGCGCCGAGTTCGAAAGCCATGCTCGAGCTAGTGGGGAGGCCGAACACTCCAGTTAGTCGCCCAGAATATCATTCCCCCCAACGCAGGCGGAGAGATGGGGGCTCCCTGCTCGTTGCTTCGTTGGAGCTCCCCCCGAGGTAGCTTTAGCTGACCGTATTCTAGTTACACAGCAAATCAACGAGATGGCCATGGTTCGCGAGAAGGTGTATGCGATGGAACAGACACATCTGGCTTTGAAGCAGAAGTAAGCTCTTTCCCATCATCACCCCAATCAAGACGGAACCTAACTAGCCCCACCACAGGTACGAAGACGAGATTCGAAGCCTTCATCGCGAGCTGGAAGCTCGAGGAGCAAATCCTCGTCCATCAGGCATTGGTCCCCCACCACCTCCACCGCAAAATGCTGGTCCCTCCCAAGCACCACCATCGCTCGGCCATGGCCCTAGCAATCTATTCGGTGGCATAATGGCAGGTCAAGGAGGCCAAGGAGGTCCAGGTCTTGCCCCGCCACCGCAATCAGATCAGCATCCCCCTATCCAGCACCAGATGCCGCAGCCCCCGCCTCCGCCTGCTCCCCCGGGACCTCCCCAACAACAACAGCAGCAGCAGCAACAGCAGCAACCACCACCTCCTCCTTTCCCAAGTGTTGGGTATCCACAGGGACCGGCGCCTAATGGTTATGGCGCGCAGCCTCCTCAATCTACATCATCTCCCGGCCCAGGCAAAGGTCGCGTGCTCACTCGTGGACCTGGCGGCCCGGCGACGCCTCAGTTGAATCAGCCAATGCCATATCCGGGAGACCCAAGATCTGCAGTCTCGCCGCAAGTCGGCCACCCAGGCCCTCCTCCACATCCTCAGTTCAGAGTGGGCAATGCTCTTGCCGAACTAGACCTGGAGCGCTTGCCCGCCCACCAGAAGAAGGTTGATGCGGATTGGTTTGCGATCTTCAACCCCGAAGTTCCGCGGGTTCTTGATGTTGACCTCGTTCACACCCTTCAGCATGAGAGTGTCGTCTGCTGCGTTCGATTCAGCCACGACGGAAAGCATGTTGCAACCGGCTGCAATAGATCCGCCCAAATTTTCGATGTTATAACAGGACAGAAGGTTTGCGTACTGCAGGACGAGAGTGTTGACTCGGTTGGCGATCTCTATATCAGAAGCGTCTGCTTCAGCCCGGATGGAAGATATCTTGCAACTGGTGCCGAGGACAAATTGATCCGAGTAAGTAGCTGCCCCGTGAACTTTAGTCAGGTGTGCTAATCATATTAGGTTTGGGATATTGCTTCCAGAACCATCCGCAACACATTTGCTGGCCACGAACAAGATATCTACTCATTAGACTTTGCTCGTGATGGACGTACCATTGCCTCCGGCAGTGGCGATCGTACTGTGCGCCTGTGGGATATTAACGAAGGCCAAAATATCCTCACCCTTAGCATTGAAGACGGCGTTACTACTGTTGCCATCTCTCCTGATTGCAAGCTTGTTGCCGCTGGTTCTTTGGATAAGAGTGTCCGTGTTTGGGACGCCGTCTCGGGCTACTTGGTTGAGCGACTTGAGGGTCCCGATGGCCACAAGGATTCCGTGTACTCGGTCGCATTCGCGCCAAACGGAAAGGATCTTGTATCTGGAAGTTTGGACAAGACTATCAAGATGTGGGAGCTTGCTGCTCCACGGGGTGGGCATCCCAGCAATGCACCAAAGGGTGGACGTTGCATCAGGACCTTCGAGGGTCACAAGGTACGTTCATTTATTAGCTTCACAAATATGCTCTCTACTAACGTTTTAAAAGGACTTCGTTCTGTCCGTTGCTCTGACGCCCGACGGAAACTGGGTTCTTTCCGGATCCAAGGACCGCGGCGTGCAATTCTGGGACCCCAGAACTGGTAACACTCAACTCATGTTGCAAGGCCACAAGAACAGTGTCATCTCGGTGGCACCAAGTCCAAGCGGCGGATCATTCGCCACTGGCAGCGGAGACATGAGGGCAAGAATCTGGAGTTATAAGCCATACATCCCCTAAGGAGACTTCTTTCAACACCCTGAAAGGGGAAGGCTGCTAAAATGAAATGTTTTGTACGCGAGGACGAATGGGCGAACTGGTCGGCGCACTTGGGGGGATTCGGCTTCCAGGGATGATGGTTTAGTCTATCTTGTAGACTTTGATGGCTGTTCCAGAACTTTTATGCTTTTTTTTTATACTTTTAGTTTTTATTTTCTATGTCTTGTTTCCCCCGTTATTTTGTCTGTTTGTGTGTGTGTGTGTGTGTGTACCTATTTGTTGGCCTATTCGGCCCCATCTTGATGAAAAAAAGTGCGAGAGGGAAGATGGCCATGAAAGAAAGGTGCAGGTAAATTGTGTGCGTGGGCGACTTGTACTACAGTTTGCAAAATTGAAAGTTTTTAAAATTAAATGTCTGTCTATTACCAGAGAAGAAAAGTGAAAATATTATATGGTAGGTCGCTCGTCTTAAGTAATTGTCTATACAGTAATAAATAATCCTACGGAAGAAGTTCCTTGTATTTCTTGCTCACTCACGACGACCGACCGAAACATCTCGGCAAAACTCGAAGCTCCCAAAGCTCCGAGTCCGACCCCAGAACATCGAGAGATGGATACGTATATTACATAACCAAGCTCTCTCACTCTCACTCACTGCTCACCACTTCCATTCTGCTGCGCATAGAACGGGCAATTCGATACCGCGACTTGGGTTTGGAAGACTTACATTACATACGAAATATACATAACCCGCGCATCTGCAATCCCGAAGCTCCAATCGACCTCCCGCACAACAGGCAAGTCCACAGCGAACAACCAGCAAAGCAGCGAACATAACCACGGCTAGACAATCGATAGACAGAGAGACAGCAGCTACAAGAACCCCTCAAAACAAGAACCACATCCAACCCATCCCAGCACCCGCCACGATCCCTTACGCTTACCCCACCCCAACCCAAACCACCCAACATGTCCTTCGACTCCCCTCTCCCCCCCTACAACGCCTCCGACCCCTCCGCCACCTTCCTCAACTCCTCCTGTCTCGATCTCCTCATGATCGAGCTCGTCCCCATGGCATGGCGCATAGTCCAAGAGGTGGATTACTCTAGCACATCATCACAGGGGAAAAAAGGCAGCGGTGGTGGTGGTGAGGCGCGGAGGGCTGGAGCTGGGGCTGGGGCTGCGGAGGGAAGGGTGATGAGCGAGGAGGAGGAGCAGGAGGAGAGGGACGCGGTGTTTTTTAGGTTGGAGATGTTGGGGTATAGGGTTGGGCAGGGGTTGGTTGAGAGGTTTGTGTTCCTCGTCCTTCGTCTTATTCTTATTCCTCTTATTCCTCTTATCCCCCAATTTTCTTCTTCTGGGAAATTTGCTTGCTTGTTAGAAGTACCCCTCTTCCTACGCCCCAAAATAAAAAGGGTTTCCTACAGCAGAACAAAGAAGAAAAAAAAGCTAATAAGAACCCCCCACAGATTCTCAAAAGACCGTCCCCGTTTCACGGATACGCTGGATGTTATTAAGTTCCTGTGTAAGGATCTGTGGATGCTGGTTTTTAGGAAGCAGATTGATAATTTGAAGACGAATCATAGGGTTAGTTGTTCTGTGGTCCTGGTTGTTTGGGGTGTTGGGTTTTGGGTGGGGGGAATGAGGTGGTGCGATATATGATATGATACAATGCTAACACTCTGACTCTGGCATATAGGGTGTCTATGTCCTAACAGACAACTCCTTCCGGCCATTCTCACGCATGAGCACGGAAGCTGGTGGACAAGCTGTTGTGAGGGCCCAACCTGTACGTATTTCCCTTCCCTTCCGTTCCCAAGTTGCCCCCAGGCCACACCGGCTAACACAAAAACCAGTTCCTCTGGTTCCCCTGCGGCATCATCCGCGGCGCGCTCGCTAGCATGGGCATCAACGCTACGGTGCAGGCCGAGACGAGTGAGTTGCCCGGAGCAACTTTTCAGATTAAGAGTGTGGGCGTTGCGGGGAAGGCGTAGGGGTGTGGTGTATTTTCGCAGTAACCGTCTGGGTCCTAGGCATTTTTTCTTTTGATATGCTGCAAAGTGTGTGAAAAGAATGCTCCGGGACCTTTTTATATTATTTTAATTTTATGGCGGGCAGGGAAGTGCAGAATGGGGTTTCTATTTAGCGGGTTTAGCGGCATAAAATCGGCGTTGGATAGGGTGGGCATCAGATATATGGGGAATTAGAGTTTTATGGGATATCGGAAGATCCTTATATGGCAAGACGAGGTACATAGATACATACAGAAGCCTGTGCCTCACAACCCCGTTCCCCGGGCAGAGGGAACCGGCATAGGGTAACATAAACAGTGGGGTTCAAACAACGCAGGCTATCTTGTACTCTTTTGCTTTGTGAACATTTGTATTTTTGCATGTCCCAAGGAAACATCGCCATCAAAATTCGTATTCTTACTATCCCTGATGAATCCACCCACCCCTCCCCCCTCCCTCACCCCCGTAAGACTCCAAGCCCTAATCATTCAAGTTCGTCCATCCATCGAAAAGCACGAATGAGAAAGGACGTCCAAACCAACCCCGCCCCCCCTGGTCGTTCAAAGGAAAGGGGAAGAAGAAATGAAGTTTTGAGGCATTATCTCCGAAAACAACACACACATTTAACCCCAGAGGAAACATCTAGAGTCTATCTATGGAAGCGCCAACGATCAGTCAAGGGGTTTCTTTACAAAGCGGAGAAAGAAAAGCCAAGTATTTGAGGGAAAAGTAGGGTGATCGCGGGGTAGCGGGAACTAGGCCTTTTGAGACCATCCCCGCTGTGATAGGATGCACTTTTGTGGAGAAGACAAATATGATGGATTTGCTGCTTAGAGATGGAGAGAAACGGAGAAGAATGGGGAGGTACAGGTGGATATGCAGGGGGAGACTACTTTTGAGGTGTGCTGTGAGCAAAGGTAACACCCTTCTCAATGTTGCCCTTAAGTCCTTCCACGCAGGCCTTGAGGAGGGTCTTCTCGCCCTCATTCAGGCTGGCCAATGGGTTCAAAGCCTTCTCGGCACCGGTAGTCTATGTAGCCGTTAGTACAGGTTCAAGAACGGGTCGAGAAATGGGGGGGTACTTACGCCGAGCTCGACTGGAACGGAGAAGAACTCGCAGCCGGTCTCCTTGACAATCTCATCACCGCCTGGGATACCTGGCAGGTAGACGAATGTTGGGGTGACAATGCCCTTCTCGCCTGAAAGACCCTTGAGGACGGCCTCGGCGAAGCTATTCCAATGTCAGCTGAATAAGCACCTTCATCTAGAACAAGGTTAAATACCGGTATCCAGCATATGCCATGGAAAGGGTAGCAGATCCAGCTCCATCCTTTGCCTTGACGACCTCGTCACCGCCGAATTGCACACGCTTGATCAGCTCTGGCAACTTATCGGCTGGGATGTTGACGGCAGGCTTGGCCTGGCTGAAAAGAGGCACGATGGTCTCTCCAGAGTGACCGCCAATAACTGGGATGTACAGGTCTTGTGGGTTCTTTGTGCCAATGATCTCAGCAACGAATGTCTCGGCGCGGACGACATCGAGGGTGGTGACACCGAAGAGGCGCTTGGGGTCGAAGACTCCCTTGGCCTTGAGAACTTCTGCGGCGATGGGGACGGTCGAGTTGACTGGGTTGGAGATGATGAGGATATAGGCTTTTGGTGCAACCTCAGCGATCACTTCGATGAGGCCCTTGACGATACCGGCGTTGATGTTGAACAGGTCGTCACGAGTCATTCCTGGCTTGCCTGTTACACCGCCATTAGAGCTGCTTCAGGCATATCTTTCTCGAACCAGGTTGAAACATACGGGGAATGCCAGCTGGGATGACAATGAGGTCTGCATCTTTGAATGCCAACTTGGCGCCATCATCCTTGGGAAGATAGCCAGTGATTTTCTATAACCCGCATTAGCCTATGCTAGAGAGGCTTCTTCTTCTTATTGTGGTTATACATACGGCAGGGGAGGAGATGTGGGAAAGATCAGCGGCGACACCTGGGGTGTTCACGACATCGTACAATGCCAACTCGCTGATAAGAGGTGAAGTCTTGAGAAGGAGGGACAATGGCTATTGTACAGAGAGAAATTGTTAGCAAAGCGTTCCGAAACCGGAGGGATGGAGGATATCATGTCCAACTCCAGATCTGTTGCAACGTACCTGTCCAATTCCTCCGGAAGCACCAGCAACCACTATATATACGTTAGAATTGGTTCCTGATACTTTTATTCCCCGTAGTTGTTGACTTACCAGCCTTGATTCCCATGTTTGCGGATGTGTCGGTGAGCGAGGGGCTTTCTGCTTGAGGTCAAAACATACCCCGCACTAGAGAGGTTTGCTCTCCGATGGAAAATGTTAGGTGTGGTTATACCTTTTGTAATAGTTTCTGTGAAAGAGAGAGAGATTTGGAGAAGGACAAAGGGTTATTATGGAAGAGAATAATAAGGGTTGTTGTGTGGTGGGTGGGAGTGGGAGTGTGTATGGGAAATTCCAGCGCGTAACCGTTAAACGGAGGAGGGGTGGTGGACAATACTCCGCTACTCCGCTAGTAAACTGGAGAGAGCTAGAGTTACGCTGTACGCTGTACGCTTTACGCTGCACGCTGCACAGTAATACAATTGATCCGCCCCCCACGATACCTGAAGACTCTGATTTGCTCGCTTCTCCATGAGGGGGACGGTCGGCAGCTCGAGGAAGGATATTAACATGTTATTAGTGATATTATTAGTGGTAGTCTGCTTGTAGTGTAGTGTATTACACTTATTATTACAAGCCAGGTGGGTTGGCTATAGGCTCCAGGCTCTGGGCTGTAGGCTCCCGTTTTTGTGATATAAAATGACAATGCTAACAGTTACCAATACCACAACATGGACCTTGTGAAAATGCGGACTGTTTACTTTACATCACGCAATGCAGGTAAGTACTGTACCTTCTCCTGCTGCCCGAAGCCATGTACGGACCGAGGCAACACGATATCGGGACAGATCGGGCTATATTCCCTCAGCTACTGTATGGAGCCATATGACGATTCCGTAGATATTCTGGAAACTCACCCGGATACTCCTCTTCACATGCCGGTAGTTCGACTTACCGGGCCTATTATTGTAGCTTGGGCTCGGCATGGACATGTAGTTCGGAAGACAAGAGAATCACAGGGGCTGGGTTCATTGTGCTCAGATTCTGCCTGACAATGCCAAATACATGCACGTCATTTCTGCCATGAAATCACGTCCCTTGAGATGTAATAAGACTCGAGGAATTTTGCAATGTGTTATCCCACATGACCTGTTTGCTGACCATAACCTCAGCATAACTCCTAGGATTGAGCTCTATTCGTGACTATCAAACGTCATGTCCTTCCGGCCCCCCGTGATCTATGAACACTTATTCCTCCTTCGCAGCCTCCTCCGCCTTTCTCGCCTTTGCGCCTCGGGCCTTCTTCTCTGGGAGGTCCTTCTTGGGGGTCTGAGATTTCCGGATGGCGGATGCGCGGGAGACGGCCTCGGCGCGTAGATCAGCGCGGTATCCTGACTTGGCGACCTTGCTGGCAACGGTCTTGTAGGTCCTGTAAGAATGGCAAGCCAAGTCAGAACAGTTCTCAAATGACGGAGGTATACTTGAAGATTATATCCACATACTTTCTGGTTGACTTGTTTGCGCCGATTGTGATCTTGTTGGCCTGGCTTGCTGGCTTTTGCGTGGTGTTGGCCTTCTTGGTGATCAAAGTAACGCCTCCCTTATCGCCTTCAGCTGGGACAACTCCAACGGCCTGTCTACTATCAGTATTGATCGTGGTATTTACTGTTTCTCTCGGAGAATGTGCGCACCTTGTCGTTGACATATCCAGCATACTGTAGGGAGATATATTAGCCCATGCCATACGTGATGATTCAAGATTCTAGAATGCATACCTTGCGGCTGTGGACATTGGTCAAATTGAGAGGATCGCGGGAGAACCGGATCCCTCCTTGTGGGCGGTGCACGAGGAAAGCATTCTGGTTTCCTATAATCCAAATTCATCATCAGCCTCCATCAGTGTCGAATTTGACCTGCGCTCGCAGCATTTCCCGGTCCATGTCCCTCCCTCGCCGGCACAATCCTGCCCACAAAATCCCATGAGGAGAAAAGACGTACGGGTAATCTCCCAGATCAAGTCCGCAGACACTTGGCTCGAGTGGTATGCCATTTTTCCAATGTTGTGTATTGTCGAATTGGTAAATTCTCGTTCTCGTCGACTCCGTGTCAATATTCAAAAGTTCTGTGGGCGCTCACAACCAATCATAGCCGACTTCGCTTCTTCCTAGCAGCGGGGAAGCTAACCCGTTTATGGGACATCGGCCTCCGCCACACATGCTGACTCAACGTGGCTGAGGCTGACCATCTTGAGAGATCAGTATGGCGTACTATAGGAACAAATCGGTGGTTTTCTGGAGAACTCCCTACGATAGCTTTGACTTCCAGAGAGTGTCAACATTTGTAGAACATTTAACCGTCGTAAAGTAAGGTTGTCCCTTGAACAAGCTTCTCCTGTTCAGACTTGATAAGTAATTATAGTAGGGTTATCTTTATTGTATAGAGAATTGTATAGAAGGGCGATAACGCAGGAATAGCTTAGTAATGAATAGTATGCAGTGTTATTCCTCCTATAGTACGCCGTAGATCAGCGCCACTGCTACGTACTACGTAGTAGAGACATCGATTAATCGTATCGTCGCATCGACCCCGTCTCAGATCAATCCGAAAGGGATCATCCCACGATATGTCTATGTGGATTTGAATCCGCCCCTTCTTCTTCACCCCTTATCGAAGTCTTTTCTCTACCCTGGGAGCCTCCGGGGTTCTTCCATCGAAGATGGTCTATATCCTCTACAGCACGGTACTAGCCATTCTAGTCTTTGCAACAGGTTAGGTTAACCACTTCATATATACATTCATCATCATATCCCACTATATGCTAACTTACTCGCTGCAGCCCTCTTCTTCACACGTTCTCGCTGGATCCCACATGTCCCCTCCATACCCGGCTCCTCATACATCTACGCTCGCCTCCCAACCACATTCGCTGGCGACATAGAATCCGGACTATCATCTTCGGCCTTTGACCTCTCGGGAAATGTCGCCGCGGGAGACTCCAGGGCAGGCTTGGATAATGCGAGCAAAAAGGAGATTATGAAGATCATGAAGAAACGGAGGGTGAACTTCGACGAGGCCCGGAGGATATATACAGAGGGCCGGTTTGCGAAGAATAATATTGGGCCCGATGGACGGCCGAGGGACCCGAAGTTCGTCAGTTTCTCATAGGGGCAGTTGTTAGGTTAAGGCTGGGGACGATAGACTCGGACTGTTAGGGATGTGCACAATATAGTCACTCGGGAGGCCCTATATTATGAGAAAGCGCCCTGCATTAGAGGGGCGCTGGATGGCACAAGACGAAACCATATGGGACAGGATATGGGATGCCGAGAATTATTCTGCTTGACGTCGCGATGAGGCACTTACGAGCCTACAGATCGAATTTCTGCCCTCGCACCACTTTCCCGGCAAATCCGGAGACGGGCGAGACTTGTCCCATCAGCTATATTATACCCAAAACATCTCCACACTCATTTTTATGTTCTTTTCCTAGGAAATCTTGGCGGTCGGGTTATAGGCGTTACATTAGCGGGGTAGCATTATGTTTTATGGTTATCGTTTCCTTTGTTTAATGGCGGCGGCATGGGGATGGCATGTATTGCATATATGTATTTTCACGGGAGAGCGGAAAGTCTACGAGACATCGATAGTCTAATACGAGCGGCATATGATCTATAAATTTTGTGGATGCAGGCAAGCACTGATCCGAAAAGATAGCCAGCTCCAAGCACTATGTGTTTTTGAATTCCTTCATTAATTGTGACCCGTAAGTAATTATCTCCCCTTGCTAATGGAGCTTGGTAAATGGCTTTAGATATGTCCATGATGTGGAAGTTATTAAGATTTTACATTTTGCTCAAATTTAAAGCATCAAATATCAAGATTCTTCGTTCATCCCATATCAATCGATTTCAGAAATATTTCAACCCTACGAGAACCATCCCAATGAGTTTCCGGTTTATAGTCTACATAGCGTACTTTTAATTAGCTCCTTGTGTACGAGTAGAGCACCCTTCAAGAGCTTCATATTTCCTAGTGTGTTTCTAGAAATCTATAGATACTAGACCATGCAATTCAGCCTTCGAGTTCGCCGCAATAAAAAACAGAAGACAACAGCATAGCGTTGCAAAGGGTATTATTATATTCCGTTATTCCATCATATCAGTCGTAACTCGTCATACAATTCTATACTCCGTTATCCCCCCTTGAAATCCAGAAAAGGCCACGCCCCATAAGCGCCACACAATCATTATCAACATTATCCCCTAGTCTCCTTCAAGAGTTCAGTGACAGTAACCACACGGTAGCCTCTGCGCTTGATCTCAGGAAGGACTTTTTGTAGCATAGGAACCGTCCAGCTCCTCTTGTCATGGCAGATGATGATACCTCCCGGCTGCAGCATACTAAGTATATGAGCCGAATTGATACGCCAAAAGGGAATCTGCGGGTCATGCGGATAGATACTCCCAAGAACCATTCGGTATCCCAACTTTTGCAAAACGGTGCGCATCCTTTGGGAGAAGAAACCTGAGCCGGGTCTAAAATAATCCGTGGGTTCGTCCACGCCAACAGCGGTATACACGTCATGAATCATCTCCTTCACGGTTTCGATCTGTTCGATGAGAACGCCATCTGTCAAAGACTTCGAAGGCTCATCGTACATGGCGTGATTCCCCAACTCGTTCCCATCGCGTACTAAATCCTCCAACACCTTCTCGTGGCCATCAACGTGCGACCCGATTATAAAAAATGTTGCATTGACATCGTTGGCTTTGAGGACCTGCATTATCGCGCGTGTGTATTCCGATGGCCCATCGTCGATCGTGAGAGCAATTGTTTTCGAAGCCGTCGGGACGTGCCAGAGGACATCTGGCCATCGGCTTTGGAAATAGCGTATAAGAAAGGACGGCGGTTTGTATATGAAGTAGAATGGCCCGAGGAAGATGCTCATAACCGCCACTACGACAAATATTGCCATCGCCCTTGAGCGCCGAGCTCTCCTGCGTAATTTGGATGGTATGCGGAAAAGCGATGCAAATGGATGCATGAAATAAAGGGCGACGCACGTTGTTGACCACAGGAGTCCAGGACTCAGCAGCTGTTGATGGCTGGGGGAAGGATGGTGACGATGCCTAGAAGTCAAGCTTTGGGCAAGGCAGACGGCTCGAGCCGAGCAGTCCAAGCGACGCGGAAAGGGGCTTTGGCCCAACCTCACTACAATTTCGCATATTGAGACAGCATGTGAAAGTATGGGAATTTAATGCCATTGGCTCATTAGGTGTTTTTAATAAATGATTTTAATATGTCAATTTCGTCAATTCATCTATTCGTCTAATTCGTGGTACATAAGGTTACTCCTGGGTATTATCAACAACTTCATCCAAAATGCGGCCAGTAAACGGCAAAGTCTGGCATTTCGTAGACTCGAGGGTCTACATAGGGCAAGACGATAATTATTTCGACCACCAGATACACTCTTGACATCATATACGAAAGAAACACGACGATCCCCAATACAGAGAAGCCTATGCTCAAAGCCTGATTGAGGCGAAGGTGAGCATCAGAGCCACGCATTTTCAGACCGGTCCAAATTGCCAGGGCAAAAGGGCCAAGGACCATGAGTTGTAAGCAAGAGAGTTTCCAGAATATTTGGTCCTTTCCGGTGGTCCTGAGGACGTTAGAATTCCACGCCAGCATATGTATGCTTCCATAAAACAAGCTTGTAACTGTAAGCATCGTCAAGGATTTCATCAGTTCCTCGCCTATGGCAGGGCCATCGTCACTATCCAGTCCACGTGGCCAGGAAAAGTTAGGTTGCCTATCGCGAAGCCAAACCGTGTAATTGCAATTGTATGCCTCTGACTTGAGGGCTCGCCTCCATCGCTCAAGGGTGATCGTATCAAGTTCCAATGACTCGAACCGAGGGCTAAGGTGCATCGATGTTCCAGGGATGGGTTTCCCGGGCTCGAGCCGTACTGTGGGATTTTGATCGTGCCCACATACGCGCAGGTTGAACCGATCCGTTTCTGGGAGATGCGGAAAATAGAACCATCTGTCCTTGTGGTTGAATATATACCAATCCTCTCCACTACCTGGACAGAGCGTTATCCCCCTTCTACCGCGAAAGAAGTTTAGAGTAAATTCGGATCCCCCATGCACAAACATAGGTGTCCAGGGGGAGTCTTGCTGTTCTTGCTGTTTCTTGGGGTCTTTCGTAACAACCTTTTGTCCCTCGTAAAATTTGCCGGATGCCCCAAGAGTCCATTGCGCAGCGCAAAGGTCTCTCAATGCCGACGACTGTCCTGTATGTATAATAAAAGGTTCATCTATGCTGCCAGGTTTGTGCCACCATAGGATGTAAATGAATAAAGCACAAAGAGAGTGTGCGAAGGTGTTGAGTTCCAAGAGACTGACTGGCAACGATTGGCAAATTCGAAAGATGAACTGTATACAAAACCACAGTGCTTGCATGACGATGAGAGTCTTTGCGAAATGGTCTACTTTCTGCCGAGCATTGATCTTCTCTCGAGTTAAGAAACTAAGGTCAATGTCTTCAAAAGCACTCTTCCCCAGGCATTCTTCGGCGCAGGCGGGTGTCATAGTGAGGGTGTTACACCATTGCGGCCATACCCTTTCGTCGTCTCCCGACATATCCACAAGAAGGCCCCCCATTACTATTAGGAAACCGTGGATAAGCTCGAATCTTTCCTCGGGGATATTTGGAGACGGGTCCTCCTATTCTAAGTAAGCTTGGAAGGCTAGCAATGGAGGTCTCCCTGTCGCACCTGTAATGAGATGGCAGTGTCCTGGACCTTTTCTATTTTGTCGGTTGTTTGCGGTAGTTGTGGCCCATCCTGCTGCTGATTCTGTACCGCAGCTGGCTGCTGGCCGCGTTCCTGATCGAGCAACCTGAGTTTCCTTCGAAAATACTTGCATAACCTGGTAAACCACGAACCAACTTCTTCCTGCCCACTACGCTTTCGCAGCATCTTCGCTATCCGAACAGCTTGCCGTCTCTGGGCCCAAGCATTAAACACTATAAACTCAGGCGCAAGCAATGCCACCACGAGCCATTTAGTCTGGACAAGAAACCGAATCCACCACTTGCACTCCCGGTGAAAGACATTGAGATGGAAGGCGCTGTATATACAAAGACCGAGTGTCAACACACATGACTGCACGAGGTCCCAGGTTCCGCGCCTATTTGGCTCTGGCACCCACTGAGCTGAAGTGTAGTTGCTCGTGCCGAATATAGGGAGACCCATAGTTGGGGCTTAGCTTGGGCACTCGCCAGCGAGACAAGGTGCCGACTAGGAGGTAATAATGGTAGGATAATATAGATACATGAGAGCTGGGTGGGTGTACATATAAATTAAGTTGTTGCTCGTCTAGAGCTGTATAGTGAATCGAAGGGTAGTATGTGGATTGAACGACGAGAGGAGAATATAGCATATCAACATACTCAATCAAAACACCTAGGATCTTGAGGGAGGCAGGGGGAGTGTGACAATAAGAGCCGCAGATAGTGTCTAACCGCAAGAAAGCTGGGCCAAGATCGGAAACAACAAATACCTATTTTTAGAATTAAAAAGCAAATAAAAGCACTGGCGACTGAATTGGGATGAGGCTGAGGCGCTGAGTGCTTGAGAGGCGCGGTAGGTAGCGCCACAGCGCTCTCTCCTTAGGTCACGTCGAGCAAAAGCATACGCCGTGCTAGCAGCCCACCTACCTTCCAACATCAAATCCCCAACCGCGCGTTTAAACCCCTGATCTGGTGGGATCTTGAGCAATTTGTGACCTGGTGATTGACCTCCACATGTGTGCAGGTACATAGCACATAATATACTTCGTATATATGTCCGATGGAATCTTGATAAGAATGTATTTATTGATATTGATTTGATGATTTGATGGTGGTAACTCGTGAGGCCACCGGGTAAATACAACTGAGTGCCTGGCGCGCTGCATAAATGGCCTAAGGCCGCAAATATGATCCCTCAACTTCTCTGCAATTAAGTTCTGCAACACTACGATTTTGTAGAGCCTCAAAACGTACTGAAACTTTCTTCGTTGCTATCTGCGAGAGCCTTTAACTACATAATCAAGGTTGTCCCAGACCTTTGGCAGGACCCCATCTTTCCTCTGATATCAACTAACAATATGGGAATTGTGCTGTTCTTTTTATCACGTACACCCACCTTGTAACCCTCCAGAGCGCAATTATCAGCCTCCATTTTATTGGCAAGTACTTCTCTAGTCTGGCCAGGGCGATGGGCACGTTTAATAGCCTGCTCCCAGTGCTCCCACTGACTCTTCCACCATGGACCGCAGAGAATGACGACACTAGCTGCAGCAATGTTCCAACCGACCCCTCCAGTTGCTCTTGAGATTAAGAGGACTTTTGATCCAGCAGCTTTCTCAAAGCCTTGCAGAATAGCGGTGCGCTTCTCAGGGATTTCACGGCCGTCGTATCGCAGACAATCGACAGGATCGTACATGTTTTCGAAAGCGATTTGAACAATGTCCAAGAAGTAGATAATCTCATCGAATATGAGCACAGAGTATGCTGGATCAATATCTCTATGCTCATTGAAGATATCAATTAGTGCCGTGATACGTGAAGACTTCGAGCTGTTAGGCCATAGTACTCCGTGACCGAGGCCTGAGTACTAGAGGGCCTCCCTCCCGCCGCCATATCCTCTATGTCTGACCGAAATTGAGAGATTCAAGCCGTGTAAATATCTCACTGAAATTGAGGTATTCAAGTCGTGCAAATATCTCACCGAAATTGAGGCATTGAAGTCGCGGATGTCTGACTGAAATTGAGGTATACGCGATGCTAAAGCCTCTACCACTGAATCCAGCTTTGATATGGATGCGATGGCGCATGCAGAGGCCAGAGCACGGGGTCGGGATTGGGGTTCCACAGTATATGATTCCGCCGCCAGCAACCCTCCGGCTTCTGAAGGAAACATGGCCAATACAGGTGGACAAGGCATAACTGCTGGAATTTCTCGGGAGGCTCCAATTATATCCAGCAACAGACGAATGACTACTTTGGATGGTTCCTCGGATGATGAACCAGCCCCCGAGAAACGCAAGACCACTGCGGCGCCGGCCTCCAGCCAGCCGTCAAAGAAACCTGTTCACAAGAGGCAGGATCGCCAGCAATCCGCCTGCCCTACTGAGCCCTCCATTCGAGAAATGCTTGCAGAGTTGGGAGAGGAGGAAATTGCCCTTTACCACAAACGCATGGCCTCCTCCTTCAATACCAGAAAGCTGACCGTCAAGCGCAAAGAGACGACCAGTGGATCCGGAAGACAGACTTAGGAAGTGCAATGGAACTAGTCAGTCAGTTTGAGGCTCGACAAATGCCGGCACTTAGCCGGCGACGGAATCCCAAGCGGCAGAAAAGACGTTCTGATGTTGATCTGTAACTAGGCGATGTGCACTTACCCTATTTTTGGCCTATAAGGTTTTCCTCGATCGTATCCGGCATCGAAGTGAGGCGCATAATTCAATGATTCGGGCTCGAAACCAAACAGCCGTTCAACTCGATCTAGGTGCCCTGCTGGTTCCCCTGCGAAGCCTTTCTACTGGTGAAGAGATCCCGCACTGCCCGCAATCAGTAGGCGGAATTTTTCACTATTCTCGAGCAGCTCGACTTCTCTCATCTATGATTTCGCAAGGTATCATTTTGATCAAATTGACGAATCGCCGTTTTGGCTCATGTCCATCATTTTCGCTCACTCCTGCGCAAAGTTGTATCAAATTTGCAGCGTATCGGCGGATTGCATCAAAGTTGCTAGTATGTTAGCAGATCGCATTAAATTGATCAAATCGATCTATTTTATTATATATATATACCTACCTTAGGTATCTACTATCCACCTCTCATCTCAAGCATCAACTTCTCCCACAAACCACTCCTACCATCCCTCCGCTTAGCTTCCACCTCGAATCCCCCATTGATAGGACTCGGCGCATCATCCCTCTCTTGCCTTTTTACATTTATGACTACAATAGAGTAGTAAATCTCTTGGATAGGAGCATATTCTGCTTTCGTGGCTGTGAGCTGGAGACTTCTCAACCGGCTTAGTGGATTGTGCCGAAAGAAGTCGACAAAACTATCAGTAGCAAGAGTGCTGGCGGCTGCTAAACCCCCGGGACTAGTTTCTGGATTGTCGAGTACAATGGCGATATGCAGGGTACGTAGCAGGGTGAATTGGCTTAGGGTGGAGAAGGATCGTTTGGGCTAGCAGTCGGCATAGTTAGTAACCTCAGCTTCTTGTTGCAGCTATTCTCAAGGCAGGAGATCTAGTAACATACCCAAACGGACTCCTTCTCACCATTCGGCTGTATCCCACGTCCTAGCTCTACATCGACTGTCAATTCCGTCAATTCCGGACAGGACTGTAGTAGTTCAAGCAAAGCCGGCTCCGTCCATTTCCACGTGGCATTCAGCACATTACTCGTCTTAAGAGTCCTCAGAGTAGGCCCATGTCTCTTGACATGAGACCACAAAATAGGGAAGAATCCATTCGTAGCATTTGTGACACACAGTTGTTCAAGTCCATTGATCGAATCCAGGAAGTTTCCTATAATACGCACATTTTCGACACCGATGTTTGGCAGACCACCGCGCGTAAGGGTAAAACTCAGTGATTTCAGGTTGGGCACGTAGCCACGGAAGATTTCGAAAAAGGGGGAGGGGCCTTGACCACCTAGGTCAAGAGTCCGCAGCTTGCTCCAGTCCATACAATATCTCCAGGCGTTACAATGGCTATCCGAGAAATCATAGAAGGACTCGGCACGTAGAGGATCGGAGCTGAATGCAAGTTCTTCAAGAGGCTCTAGTTGGTCGTCTAGTGTGAATGCGCTGAAGGGTAGATTTTTGGAACCGTGTCCATCAGAGCCGAATCTTTCATAAAATCCATAGTAATCCTCAAAGTGGAATCGCCTGTCGGGCTCACACACAAAACGGAGGATACGAAGATTCTTACTGGCAGTCATGATGCGTGCCATGATTGGCAATTCGGAGCGGGATGAACCGCTGTCTTCTTTGAGGAAGGTGTATGAAAGGCTGTGTAGTTGAGGCGATGTTAGGATTTCCAGATCCATCACCATGTTGTATTCTCTCCCAGCGTTAGCATCTCGTCCTCTGCTTGTGTTGGTGTAGCAAAGACGAGCGGAGGGGAAACGAGCATGAAATATAGCTTTTACGCTTTTTGGGATAAAACGCTCTGTTTTCCAGCTATGAACGGCGTCAATATTGGCTATCGGCATAGATCTAACTATCTTGCAGCTGTAACGCGAGCGCTCACCTGAAACTATGAAGCGCCTTCAGACTCCGCAGGATCTTCTCCAGTACAGCCTCATCAAACTCAGGAAAGTACGGCCCAGACCAATTATCAATCTCTAGCTCATAGATATAGGATGATACTACATCATCGGAATCCACGATGCGGTCGATGAGGCACTTTGTGCGAGACCATGGTGATCGGTTGGTGGGGTGTGGCCCTCGGAGTGTGATTGACTTGTAAATCACACGCTCTGCAGCTGCTTTGCTAGCTTTTATAAATAGTAAATTGAAGACTGAAGAAGGAGACGTGTTCTCCAGCTGGGTGCGTTTAGTTCCCAGCTGTAATAGGGATATCTATCCTCGGACCTCAGCTTACCGCTTCAACAATCTGAGAGAGCGCTTTGGTGGGCAGCTGCTCAAACAGAGACTCGGACATCGGAAAGCTCGGAATTTCGGAAGAGAAGTACAGTTGAAGTCGAGAGATAGCCAGCTAGTATATAGAGCTTGAAGTTGAGAGGTTGAGGTTGGGGTCCTGGAAATAGTTGGGCTAATACGGAAATACTTCGTAGGCTAAATTAAAGGCTAGATGCCAAGTACTCGTATTACGATCTTCCGAATAATTCCAGACACGGTATGGACCCAGAGCAGCCGATGGCATCAGACAGGGAGCTAAAGGTAGCCACGAAATAAATGGGATAGAACATCTGATACTATATCAGTCGCACGCAAAATATAAGGTACTCAAGTCGGAATCACGTGATTTGACCTATTTCTCAACCGTTTTGTTACACATCGTGAAAATCCATCATCTGCCAGGACTCAGGAGGCCTCTTCAACTCTTGTTTCGCGCGATCCCAAGCCCGGCTCCCACAAAAGGTGCCACTTCTTTTACGGGTGCCTTTTTAGATAGGCACCATAGAACAGGCACATGACTCTATAGATAGATTAGCCGAATAACTCCTGTATAATATATATTACTACCTCAGGTACCATTCGGGTAGATACTAGTTAAATTTTCGATTTTTAAAAACTAGCTTATTTCTTAAACTAATATAACTCTTTTCTAATACTACATAAAATAAACTAACTATTTAATAATATATTATATTACCATTAGCTTAGTATATAGTAAGAAGCAAAACTTGTATCTTATTAAATACTCTATAATTTATTTTTGGACTCATAAGTACTTTGTATTAGTACTATTACAGCTTAGATAATATAAACTCTGTCTCCTTTACTCTATAGAGGCTAGCGTCAAAGGTGGAATACTACCTAAGGATAGGACTAACACCGGTAGAAATCGGCGTTTAGATCAGCAAGTTTTAGATCGTAAAAAGATAACATTTTTAATAACTAAAGCAACTGCGATAATTTAGCTAGCTGAATAACTAGAGTACCCCGTTGAAAGCTCTGCCAAGCTCCGCTACCCCTTACTTTGGGAAAGGGTCCTTCGATTAACCGACAAAAGGGCATTGCCGTGAAAACAGGCTTCGATCTGCCTCGAAAGGTGTAGCGACTAGTTCTGGATATGATTCTGGCTCGTTCCGACCAAAGGGTGAGGAGCGAATAGGTACAGCTGTTTTCCATATACCACGACCTTGGTATTTGACAGAGACCCACCTTAACTTTGAATTTACAAGCTTCCAACTAATCAAAGATCTCGATCAGCTCTCGATCAGCTCTCGATTTCGTTCGCAAAATCGGAAGTCCTTTCGCAAACAGTTCTGTTGTACCCAATGGCAAGTGCATTTGACCAAAACAAAGAAGATGGACTCGAAGGCAAAAAGCTACGGCTTCGACATAATTTATATGACATAGATGATACAGGAAGGAAGGAGGTTGAAGAGCACGGGAAGTGCGATGTTTGCGCAGTTCTCATTGTTGCCGTTGGAGTTACGGCGGACGATATAGAAAGAAGCACGGCCTCCAGGCTGTGTGGTAACAAGTTCATCTTCTCTCCCATTCAAACAGTTCACCTTTGTTAAATATAAACTCGAAAAAAATTCCATCTAGATTACCCTGTGTCTTTTCCTTACCGTCTTCCACTTCCACGTCCACCGCGGACAACGACTTCCGCTTCCACTTCGTTCTTCCTTCATCTTCTCCTAGATTACTGGGCGTCTCGCCCTAGTTACGAATACCATAGCTCAGTCTGGCCAAAGAGCGAGTGTCACTCAGCAAGTCCAAGCTGTACTCGCAAGTTTAGGCCAGCTTATCAGTGTACTTGCCTTCGTTGCTGTATTAGTATTTGGTATTGGGGCTTGGGTAGGTATGAACTACGCAAACAAATATACGGAGAACAGCCATAAATTATTGTAGCTCTTTAGACAACTTGTAATAATCATCCGGTAAGATGTTTCCCCAAGCAATCCATCGAACTCGATTGATGTCGAATTAGAATATTCAGAATAATTTATTGTATAGGGACGTTCTGGCATGGAGCTTAATGGAAGTATTATCCAGAGGCGTGACGTCGATGTTTCAAGCTCTGTATCAGACCTCCTCAAGGAAGTGTCAGTTGATGATAGCCTACTACCAATTCAGAAGGAGCAGCCCACTGTCGACCAAAAGGGGGTCTAGGGGTCTCTCGGGTAGCCCTTATGTCGAAGAGTAAGAAGCAGATCAATCGTGCCGTAGTGTTGTTGGATGATATAAACTCCCTAAAACAAAAAAAATAGTACTATATATAGCAGACAGAGTAATATGATCGACGCATGCCTCAAAATTCGCCATTTAGCAAAATCCGCCAGATCTCACACTCCTAAGTAATTCCGATCCCGCATCCCCAACCCTCCCGTCCTCCTCTAAGCACAACAGAACCCGCTCAAAATCATCCTTCTCTCGCCCCTCCCCTCCGACAACCCCCTTACTCCACCTTACCACATACTCCCAATACGTGCCTAATTCTTCCCCCCAACTTGGCTCCCACTCCCCTTCCTCCCCGTCCATCTCCCAAAGCCCCCCATTTAACGACACCGGCAGCGAACCTAACAAGGGGACTAATTCCGTATATCCATCTTTGGTGGTGCAGTATAGAGATCTCAGGAGCACAGATGTAAGGATCGTGCGGCGGCTACTTTCTTTCAGGATCCATTCCGCATATGAAGTAGAAGGTGAAGGTAAGGAGAAGTAGGCTGTTTGGAGGGTGATTGTCCATTTATTGAGGCGGAGGAAGTCAGTTTCGGCGTCGAAGATGTGCTGATGGTCTGAAGAGAGGAGACGGATAGTTTGGAATATGATAAGGGCTTGGACGGAGTGTAGGATTGCGGTGGGGGAGTAGAAGGTTGTATAGGAGGAGGCGATGAGGGTCCTGAGGTGGGAGGCGAGGATGGAGAAGGTGGAGGGCGAGTGTAGGGTTGAGAGGGCGCAGGTGGAGAGTGCAGATTGGAGGGGCGGGGGAATTGGATGGCTTAGAAAGGTGCGGTGGATGAAGAAGGTGCGGTTATGGAGGGCGAGGGAAGGGATGCTACTGCGGAAGTAGGCGGTTAGGTAGAGGAAGTGGAGGGGGGAGGTGACGACGCGTGATGGTATGTGGAAGGACTTGAAAGGTAGGTCGTCGGTTGGGAGTTGTAAAACGGTGCGAAGGTCTTTTGCGATATTGTGGACGATTACTGAGCCCTGGGAGGAGTATGCCGGTTGCAAAGCTTCGTCTTCCTCGCCACTAGATCCGCTCACCTATTACCCATTTTAGTAAAATTTGCTTATATTCCTATTCAATAATTCTCTTTCAGTTAAAAAACACAACTCACATACTCACACTCCACATCTCTGGTCACACACCTGCCACAACGCGGGACTATCAAATCGCACCTTCGCTTCGCCTTGACACATCCTTCGCACGCCTTTCTCCTCGTCTGGCTATAATTCACAATCTTCGTATTCATAATCTTTGATCTTTTCTCTTTGCGTGGTTCTACGGTTCGCTGCTGGAGGTAGGAGTGTCGTTGAAAAAGGCAATGATGATGCGGGGTCTTTCGTACGATACGAGGCTTACCAGGGGTCAAAGTAGGGTCTTTAGACGCCTCTGCGGAATTCCGCACAGGGGTACTTTGTCCGGGTTATGAGATCGGAAGGTTGTCTTACAACCACGACTCTGAATTGATGAAATGACGAAACTAATGAGGGATTACTTGATTTTTACGTAGGGAAGATGGATGAATTTATCCCGAGTCTCCCGGGAGAGATAGATTCCTGAAATGCTGCTGTATAAAGGCATTTGCTCCTTCTCACCTCTTCTGAAGTCATTATCTATAAATATCTCTTTAACATTATTCTAAACCACACAGCATCTGAACGTCGAATCAACGATCTTACAAAATGCCGATCCTGGAGCTCCTCATCCTCCCCTTTAAGCAAGATGAAGCTACGCGTGAAGCCTACATCAAAACCTTCTGGCCCACCCTAGCAGCGCTTCTCAGCGGGAAAAAGGGGATGAAAATGCGGACTTCTAGGATGATGTTGAGTTCTAATAACTCAGATGTCTCTTCTATCTTCCAACCTGTCATGGTAGTGGGTATGTGTAATTTCTGCTTCATTCTCGAAACCTCCCTTCCTTCTTTCTAGCTGCTGAAAGAATCAACATCTGGGAAACAATTTACTCAATTTCTGTCGTGTCCTCCTTCTCAAAATACAGTCCTAACGAAAGCCAAATATAGGATGGAACGCAGTCTCAGACTTCCAAACCTTCGTTACCGGTGACGAACTTGGTGCCCTTAGAAATAGCTTCATATCACTAGTAACAGCGGCTACGTCCCCACAACTATACGACACCGACGTTGAGCCTCGATCCGTATTTGGATGTGCTTTGACCGAGGTCTTCAAGGTAAAGATTGGGGATCATAAGGAGAACAAGGAGAAGGTTAAGGGGGCTTGGGGGAACTTTGTGAAGGGTGTTGGGGAGGTGAAGAGTTTGAGTGGGGTGAGTGTGAATTTGAATGAGAGGACTTTCGTAGGTGCTATAGGCTGGGAGAGTGAATCGGTAAGTATCTTGGGGGACTCTGGTAAGATATTAGCTAACTGGTGTATAGGGGAGAGACCGCGTATTAAAGAGGAGCGAGGTGGAGGAATTGTACGGCAGGCTGGGAGATCTGGAGTCATTTGTGGTGAAACTTGATAGATTGTAAGGGTAAAGAAGGAGTCGTATTAGAATGAAGTTTCCTTACTTTCAAATGCGAAACTATCTTCCCTGTCTGCGCCAAAGAGCTGGCTCATTGCGTCGGAGAGTTTCCTGTTCTAGAGAGCTGGCAGCCGTTGCACATAATCTAAACCGGAACATTATCAAGAATTCAACTTCTACAAGTCAAATTTACTCATCCTGCCAGCTATTTAGGAAAGTATATCGCTAATAGTCCTTTGTATCTTGATAAAAGGTGTCTAAGCTCAATGGGCTTTTTGTCTGCCCTATTTCAATGCGCTAATTATTTATTCAAAGATTGAAGATATAGAGGGTCGCATTATTAAAACTTTAAGGTATAGTGGCTGTTCGTTTTGGTAAGTTACAGGTAGGAAAGGACGTTGACGCTGACGATCAAGAGTGGGCAAGGTTGGTCTTAGAGACCAACCTCCTTGAGGACGACCGAGAATTGTTTTCAACTACAACGACGACAAGTAAAGTCAACAATTATAGAGGGGCCTATATGCTAGTGGGCCCCCATGAGCTACTCTACTTCATACTCAGAGTAATGAACTGCTTAAACTACCGCTCCGCAAAGGCCCTCAGAACCTATACCTGGATTCAGGGACTCTCTCCTAAAGCAGCCGTGTCTGCTACCCTAAAAACATACTTGACAGCACTTGCCTCACCATTCATCAGCTTCCTCAACCCAATCCCCACGCCTTGGAAACCACCCTCACACACTTCATACGAATGACTTGTCAACCAACCCTGCTCGAGGCCGTAGCCAAACAGCCGAAACCACGGGTATGCGAACTCGCGATCCTTTTTGTTCTCGTGCATAACAGCGACGTTGAATCTAGCCTGCTGAATAGACGGCGGGAGGCTCGGGTATTCGCCTAATGGCCATAGCAGGTTGATGTGCCCATGTGGATCGAGTACCTTTGCGATGTTGGCGGTGCTCTGCTGATCTGAAACGGCATCGTAGGCATAGGCGCATGTCTGGCCCCCAGGAACAGCAGCAGCGATATTTCTGATAACGGCGTCGCTGCCTTCGCGGTAATCAATGATGGTGTCGCCTTTGGCAGTGTCAATGAGGGTTTCGACAAAGGAGATGCCCTTTCCAGCGACGCAGATGATGGGGTGGATATCAGCGTGGACCAGCAGTTTGATAGCAAAGGCACCCACGGCACTGGCGGCGCCGTAGACGATGATGCCGCCCTCCCGGACTCGTGTTCGAGTTTGATTAGTGCTGACCCAGGGCTCTTGTAGGTCCAGGTTGGAAAATAGTCCTAGAGCGGCAGTCATGGCGTACAGAGGGATGGTGGCAGCTGGGTAAGACCCTGACGGGCTCATCATTGTGTGAAAGGCCGCCACACGGTCCCCTGGTTTGAATTCCGAATTCGCTTCACTGCCTACACTTTGCACAATGCTGGCAATGTCATCGCCAGAGTTGAAACCATTGTGATCGGGGTAAACTGAGAGAAGTTTCCAGTCTTTGGGGTTGGAGCCAGACACCGTAACCTTTATCAGCACTTGGTCGGGTGCTGGGATGGGGATAGGGACGTCATAGAGATGGATCTTGAGACCGTGAGCGTCGTCCTTGTAGACGCGAGCTTCCTTTATTTTAGTTATAGCTTAGAAGTTGTGAGAAGAAGTACCAGGAATAGGAATGAAGTAGACCGGTTTTAAGTGATTTCGAGGAGGCCCTAAGCTACTGTCAGAAATACGTATATAGACTAGTGTTGCTGAGTACTCTTGTAACTAGATTAATCGTGCTAATCTATACTTTGGATTACTACTTACTTTGACTATATCTACTTACTAGTCACCCTTTTGGGCCTATTCGTAGTTTATAACCTTGACAGTCTCACTCGTCTCATCATCACTTCTCTATGTCGACTCACCACATAACCTTTTCTCGAGGGGTACGACGAAGCTAGGATAAATTACGTCGTTACCGACCCAACCCGTTCTGGACGATGTTGTACGAGTACTTAACCCTCACATCTTGGCGCTAACAACCGTTCAGCCAGGCAGTAACAGCGGATGTATCATATGCCACGTCCACAAATTCCGCTCTGCCGTCTCCATTCAAATCACTAAATTGAATGCCTTTGCCATTCGTTCCGACACCAGTTGCAATGGTACCATGAGGAAGCCACACAACTTTCGCTGCATTGGACCCGGTGTCTGGCCCCCCTCCGTTGAGCCACAGCTGGACACTCCCATCCGTCCTCGACACCGTCAGATAATCCGCTCTCCCATCACCATTAACGTCCGCAAATACCACATTTTCTCTCGCCTTGCCTACACCCGTTGCGATTACTCCCTGCGGCAACCAGGATACTTTGGCGGCGTTCGGTCCGTTGTCAGGGCCGCCGAGGTTGAGATACGCTTCCACGGATCCATCCGTATAGACATAGAGATACTCGGCTCTACCGTCGCCATTGATGTCAGCGAATCTTACGCCAGCTCCATCTTTGCCTATTCCACTGGCGATTTTGCCTTGCGGTAGCCAGCTGACCTTGGCTGCATTTGGACCGTTGTCGGGGCCGCCTAGGTTCAACCAGCAGTCAACACTTCCATCATCGTGAACCCAGAGATAATCCGCTCTACCGTCCCCATTGATGTCCGCAAACTGAACGCTTGCACGGGTTGCACCTACGCCGGCCGCGATCTCGCCTTGAGGTAGCCAGGAAATCTTGGCTGCATCAGCCCCTTGGTTCGGGGCCCCAAGATTGAGGAACGCTGTCACACCGCCTTCGTTGTCGACATACAGGTACTCAGAACGCCCGTCACCATTCAAATCAGCGAAGTGAACTGCGGTAGTTGCTGGGAATTTTAGCATTTCGATTTCGCATGTGGCGGTGGAGCTGAGGAGAGCCGGAGTTAGAGGTATGTCTTTCCCTGATGTGCAGGTGCAGAGTCCGGTTATTGGACTTGATGTAGGGTTAGTTTTGTCATGATGGGATATTCAAAGTAAGGGTAGATACTGACTTCGAGGCACAAGACACGGTTAGCCAGAGATTGCTTCCTAAACCTGCTCCGTTCGCAATTTGACCCTGCGGGAGCCAAACCGGATCATGGTTACATGTTGCCAGGGGATTTCCGGAACCCTGCACCGGGTCTTTAATCCAACCGATCGAATCTGCTGCAGTCAATGCACTGGCCCACTTGATTGCCATCTTATTGTATCCTTCATCATTCGGATGTAACCCGTCTGCGAGATCTCCCGTCGTCACACCAGAAGGCATGTCTACCACCATGACTTGCTGTCCCTGTCGAACGCGCTGAGCCATGAGTCCCGTAATCGCGTTATTGAACTGCGGAAGCAGAGCTGCAAGACCGCCGTTCGTAGAAGGGATGATCCTGGCAACGATAATGGTAGCATCTGGGCACGCAGACACTAACTGTCCAACAAGCGAGTCAAGACGCTGTGGAGCGGATGCTGGCTCTGACGGCAGATTCAGATCGTTTGTGCCTGCATGAAGGAGAATGATATTGGGTCGCTGCCCGTACGCGCTGGTATACGTAGCCAGCTGTGAGATCGTGGCTCCATTGTGGCCTTCGTTGAAATTGTTGGCCATCGTACCAGCTCGTACGGAGCCGATCATTTGAACAGTATTCTTCGCTCCTGTAAGGATGCTCAACAAATCTTGTCGATAGCCATTGCCGTCAGAGCTCTGAAAGCCGTAAGTAATTGAGTCTATGAGAGTACTGAAGTTAGTTGTCAGATGCTTAACAGTGACATGAAGTGACATACCGCCAAGTGGAAGTATTCTTAGGTTCTTGTTCTTCAGCCAACCGTATGGTGTGTAGTCGCCGGCCTGAAAGGCGATGGCTTCAGCTTCTGAGATCTCGTCGTAGCTAGAGTATTGTTGTCAGTCTTCAATGTCCTATATTCAAGATGGGCATTTACAATCTCTGGTCTCCAATGTTCTCTAATCAGGATGGGACATTTACAGCCCGCAATTTCTAATTTTCAAGATCCACATTTACAACCTCGAAAGGATTTGCACTTACTCTGGATCATCAAACTCGGTTGGGATAGGTTTAGAACCGTCGTCCTCGAAGAAATCTACCCAATCATCCTCTGGAGGCTGATCTGCCCCGGTCGAAGAAACAGACGACGGATCTGGGTCTCCATAGAACTTTTTAAACCACATGGCTGTTGCATACCAAGCATAATTATCGGCTTCAACTGTCAGCTTATTTGGGCATTGAATGTAAGATATCCCCGTACTTACCGTTGAGATACGCATAATCAGGAAACCGTTGTGCTAGTTCTTCGGATTTCCTGGCACCGTAGACAGCCTTTCCGCTTGAACCGACTGGATTCTCCTTCTGATCCAACACGATGTCTATCTGGCGTGTCAGTCGAGATCTTCGGTGAGGCCATTGGCCAATTTTGTGAACGTACGTGGATAGCGGTTCTCGACGATCGACAAATGGGTCATCTCGTGGAAAAATATATGAGCTCTGGTTTTCATCCATCCCAAGTCTTTCTGCCGCCCCGGAAATTTATCAAGCTCTGCTTTCACTTCGTCTAGCGAGGGTTGGGCGAAAAACGAGCGGCAAAATACAATTTTCGCTCTTCCATTAAGATTTGTAGCGTATGCGCCTACCGTGCCAGGCTGGCCGGGGAGTTGACTGTTGCACGAAGTGTCCGACTTGGTTGGTTGGTCCACTTCGCAGTACACTTCGATTCGACTTCCAAAGAACCAGTCCTAGCATAGTTAGCGGGTTCTGTTTATCGTCTGTTACTCTCACGACATTTCAGAACTGATAGCATCAGGGTTTCGTATGTCGTCTCTGACTTTCATAACAATAGAAGTCAGGATCTCAATGTCATCAACGCTAGAGACAACAATTGCACCTCGGTATCAAGTGCCGCTTTTCGAGTAGGTGTAATAAAAAGTAACATGAGTACGTACCCAGGGATACCAAGGCCACCAATTAGCTGCATTCTGCATAATACCTGCTCAAGTTAGTTTTAGCTTGACTATAGGTGTAAGTTGGGCCTACCATAAATGAGACTTCTCTTGTAGCTCTGATCGGAAAAATCTCCGAAGAATCGCTTCTCTATTGGACCGGGAGCTAGCTGAACGGCGTCCCCCTCCGGCGATAAATACACGAGAAAAGGGTTGATATGTTGTGTCATCCGCAACATGTCATGATACCCTTGTTTAACAATATCTTTTCCTTTTGATTTCCCATTCTTGTAAAGCTTGTCGCAGCCCCCGTATTTATTGATGTTAGCACGCCGGTGTAGAGTTGCATTGTGGGGAAAGGAAGGTCGGTCGTGAACTTTTATCGTTGCACGCTTCGCAGGAAGGTGATTTCCAATATTGGCTCTTGCAGCTGCTGCAAAGCCGGAGATCGATAGCCAAAACAAGAGCTTTGAGAGCAACATCTCTTTCATCTGAATGTAAATTATGAAAGGTGAAAAGAACAGTGGGATAAAGAATCCTTTTATCCGTGGAAAAAAAAGACTCTGCATGTGATCATCCTTACATTAATACAGCAGGTAGAACCTATAGCTCTTCACGACCAAATGTCAATGAGGTCAAAACACAGGCGAACCCAGCCTCTAAGCTGCATGTTACCATGAGCTGACCAATTTCATATCTCGGGGGGAAAAATGCAGAAAATATAGACGGAGGGAATGTCATTTGCCCTTTGGGCACTAGTCGACATGTGCTGAAGTATAAATAAACATTATGTGTCACGTCCCAAGGCTGACGGCAGCCTGATAGGATGATGAGGGATACGAGTAATATTAGGAGCACACGATATCGAAAACAAAATAGTGCTTCCCGCTACTTCGATTCGCGTCGTTCACCTGTTACCTTCTCCCCTCGCATTATGTTTGGGAACTTTCTCCGAGGAGCTTGAATATTCCCTGTTGCTTGACAGCGCGCCTTGCAAGGCAGAGCAGAGGTTACACGCTCGCTTTATTGCGCCTCGGTGCTGGAAAGCGGCCGCTAACGAGAAAGGACAGAGACGGTCCGGGATCATTCCACTTCTTTGAAGGAAAACAATGAAATGCCGGTGCCAAAAAGAAACGCAACTCTCTCATTCCTTGGATTTGGAATTGTTCTGTTTATAGCGGTTTTGTGTCGACCGTATACTGCGACGTTGTTCCACAGGATAGAATATACGGATGTAGTGGATTATGGTGATGGTACGCTCGGCTCCAGCATTTCAAACATCATCAGGGCTAATGAGCTCTCTAAAGTTATCGGAATAGATTTCGGAAGAGCCTGTTCGCGCGTCGGAGTATTCAGAAACAATGTATTCGAGATTATTTCTGATGAGCAAGGTCGCAGTGCGATACCAAATTATGTCGCGTTCCTTGACCGTGGACCTCCCCTGGTGGGATTTGAAGCAAAGGAGCAGGCTCTCAGCAATCCTAAAAATACTATTTATGATTTCAGGTAAGTTCAGGCTCTTCAATGTCATGAATTGGGATATTAATAATGTTGTCAGACGTTTGATCGGGCGAAGTTTCTCCGATCCTGAGCTCCAAGAAGCCATCAAGGAGTTGCCATATGACGTTGTGGACGCGAGCGGGGAGCCTTTGATCAAGATAGGTACAAAACATGATTACACCGGTTACACCCCAGAGGATATTTCAGAGTTGGTTTTGAGGAAGTTGAAGAGCATGGCGGAAATTCACCTCAACACAACTGTTGGACATGCCGTCATCACTGTTCCCTCATACTTCGACGGAAAACAGCGGCAAGCAACCCAAGACGCTGCGGCAGCTGCAGAGCTGAGTGTACTACGCGTGATCAATGAGGCATCAGCTATCGGCCTGGCGCATCGTCTTGACATCAAGCCCTGCGATGAAGCTGCAGGGCGATTCGACTGCACTTATATTTTGTACGACATCAGGGAAAAAGAATCTGAGTTGACTCTTCTCTCGATTGATCGCGGAGTATTTGAGATTGTAGGAACTGTGGGAGATGGGCACTTGGGGTGGGAGGACTTCGAAGTCCCCTCTGAGACAGCCCATGTTCAATTGAAGGCCCCAAGCAATCAACAATCGGAACGAATCCTCGCACTAGTCAAGCGGCTTCTCCTCGACGCCAGATTGGAGAAGAAGGACGTCGATGGGATCATTGTCACCGGTGACCCCTTGCAAATTTCGAAGATCCAAGCGGTTCTGGAAGCTTACTTCCCGGACAAGATTGCACTCACTCCATCTGGCTTCGGGCACGACCAAGCTATTGTATGTGGGGCTGCAACGCAAGGCCAGCTGTTCAGTGAGGTATACCAGGACTCGACTCCGCAATGGACAGATGTCAATCCGCTAAGCCTTGGTATCGAAACCAGCACTGGGGCTTTCCTGAGGGTGATCAATCGAAACTCTGTTATCCCAACACGCAAAGCACGCGTTGTATCGACATCTGCGGATACCCAAGGGAAGGTCACGATCAGGATTCTAGAGGGCGAGCGAGAAGTTGCTAGCAAGAACAAGTTAATTGGCACTCTTGAGCTTACCGGAATTTCAACCGAGCCGAAAGGGGTACCGGAGATTGAGATATCGTTCGAGTTGGACGCTGATGAGATCTTGACGGCTACCGCGAAGCTAAAGTGGGAAGAATCGGAGGTTGCAAAACTTGTCGTTGCTGTTAGGAGGAGGCGATACACCGAGCAGGAAATCGATGATATTGTGCGGGAAGGGGAGAAGTTTCACGAGGAGGATTTAGAACTTATTAATTATAAATACTAAAATAGGCAATAAGTTTAATTTAGTAGAAATAAGCATCTTTTAAGACAAATAATAGTAGTAATATGTATATTAATAATACTATATAAAGTATAAGTTAATCTTAGAGCCGGTGTACCCAGATTTGGAGCACGTATAGTGGTGCCATCTAGGGGTGCGGAACGTGGTACAGTTGCTTCGATGGCAGTCACCATCGTTCGCTTAACGCCCCTTATGGCACACCCTTCCTTCGGTGCTTTTCGTTTCAACTCCGACCGACCATCAAATTGGATGTGCCCTCCAGTACTCGTGGGGAGTAAAGTTTAGCTGCAATCTATACGACCTTTGTTGACAGGTAGTCGTCCGCACGCTTTTGGTCCTTGGCCTGTAATTTGGCTCGAAGCCTTTGAATCGCCAGTTCCCCAAGCGCTTCGATCGTGCCTGCGTCCAGAATTTCTAGAACACTGATCTCTATTCCCAAATTCCTGCGCCACCAGTTTCGAATTTCAATTGTTATTAACGAGTCGACACCAAGGGAATTGAGGGATATCGACGGGTTAAGATCCTCTACAGGCTGCATCATAAATTGGTAGATTCGAACGCCAATTGCGTTTGTCAAGAACTGGCGAGATTGCTCGCTCTCGAGGGGACTGAGGCCCTCTTCAACGGAGGAAATGAATTGTACCAATTTGTCGTCACTGCCTGTGCTTGCCTTAGATGCCTCGGCATCCCCGTTGATGAGCAAACTGAGCCTTCGATCCGATTCCCAAAAATATTTGCTACCGGGTCGGAAAGAAGCCTTCGCAGAACGTAAAACTCCAATGAAAAACTGACTAGCGGAAACGAATCCTTCTCCAGACTTGTCTAGACATAACCCTCGCGGGAGAGTCTTGGTCATGGATAGATGCAATGTTTGGAGCAGATCGTTCTCATCGATGGAGAACCAACCCCGATTATGAAGCAGATCTACCAAGTTCGAACTCTGACTGACGAATCCAATTTCCCCCATAAGACCAAGATCTATAGCAGATGCTGGAAGACCTTGCTGATGTCGATACTGAACGAAGGCATCCAGAAACGTATTTGCGGCCGCGTAATTGGCCTGTCCGGGACTTCCGAGGGCTCCAGATAGAGACGCAAACATGACAAAGAAGTCAAGGTTGCAGTTCTTCGATGCGTTATGTAAGTTCCAAGTTCCAGTGACCTTTGGACCTACTGCCAACGTCCAGTCCTCGTAGGTCATTGCATCGAATGTTCGATCTCTTATCACCATGGGCATGTGAATGATTCCTGCCAACGGGTGGGTGGCAGTCTCAATTGCTCTGTCGACAACCTGCGGATCCACAACACTTCCGGCAAAGGTTTGGGCGGAGCAGCCCTGTATGCTGAGTTCGTTCAAAAACGCTTTATCCTCGGCAGATTCTCCTGCTGAGCGAGAAAGAAAGATTAGATGTCTTGCTCCATGCTTAACCATCCAGGTGGACACCTGACGTCCGATTCCGCCAAGTCCACCAACCAGTAGATATGAAGCATCGGACCGAAGTTTAAGGGCCGGAACTGTAGGAGTCATAGGAATCATATTAAGATCATGAGGCATTGTCACAAGTATCTTGCCAATGTGTGAACCCTTTTGCATATATCGGAATGCGCCTTCAACTTTTGATGCGTCGAAAATCCGTGACACCGCGATGGGCCGAATTAGCCCACTTTGATACATACTAATAACTTTGGCCATGAGACTAACTTATATCAGTAGGTGGTCTTCCAAGTATATATTGATATTGAACTTACGGTTGGTACATTTCAGGGGTAAAACGAGCAAGATCAACTCCAATGAATGTTCGATTTGCTTCGAACAGATTCATGCTCAGTTGCGCACCCCCAACAAAATCTCTTTTGCCGATTTCGATCATTATGCCATACTCTGCAACACATTTCCAAGATTCATGAAGCAATTCTCCGGATAGGGAATTAAGCACAACGTCGACTCCCCTGTTTGACGTCTCTCTCATCAGATCACGGCGGAATGTCTTGTCTCGGGAGTTAAAAATACTGGCCCTCGAGATACCGTAGGCATCCATTAAATATTTGACTTTTTCATCACTGCCAACTGTTACATAGATCTAGTCTTTGTCAGGTTTTTCTCTTTGGTATAGATTGGTAGCGAGGGCAATATCATACCTTAGCCCCGAGCATTTGGCAGACCTGAATAGCTGCCAGGCCGATACCGCCACAAGCTGAATGGATGAGAACAGTTTGATTCTCCTGAAGTGACGCTTTCTCTATTAGAGCGTGTACGACTGTGCCGAAGACGCATGGCATTGTGGCAGCCTCTTCCCAGCTCAAGCTATCTGGAATTTTCACACAGTGTTTAGCAGATACAGTGACATGGGTTGCAAAACAACTATCGCTCATCATCATCACACGATCTCCAACTTGGGGCGATTTAACATTGGCTCCCACCTGTCGTACTAAACCAGAACATTCAAGCCCAAGGGTAAGTGCGGCTGAACCTATCAACCCCATCGACGCCAGCACATCCTGTTGAGAGTTAGAAAATATACAAGGCATCATATTGAGAAACTGTTAAACATACCCTGAAGTTCAAGCCAACACAGCGAGGCTCAACCAGCACGTCTTCATCTCCAAGGATCGCAGGACTGTATGGTATCCACCCAAGTGTTTGCAAAAGGCCACATTGTTCAATACTCAAGTGTAACGGCTGGTTCTTAGGCCACGTTTCTGACAGCTCATCTGATACTGAGACCTGAGTATACCTACTCACGTAGACCTTCTTCTCGAAGAGACAATACTCGTAATCTGGGTCCATCTCACTCGTCTCGTCCCTGTTATTAAACTTGACAAAAACTTCGAGCGCTTGCTCGAGCGCATAGTTGTCCGTGATATCTAATTCAAGAGTAGCGAACGGGATTTTCAGTTCCGATCGAATGGTTCTGGCCAAGCCCAATGTCATGCTTTGGCGCGGATCAGGGCACCCCAATTGCGCGGACCTCATAACCCATAAAATTCCTTCGGATTTGATATGAGAGACCAAACTCTTGAATTTTGAAAACCCATCTTCTGAGAAGGAGTATGGCCAAGGCTCATCAAGCTGTATAAGGGAAATGATGGGTTGACCTGTTGGCGGAATTTCTTCTTGGTTGCAAAGATCTACGGTATATCCGCGTGCAGTCAAGAGCTGCTTTAAGTAATTTCCACTTGATAACAATCCATCACGATGGTGCAGGAGAGTAACGCGGGTGTTCTGAATCTCAACAGCTGAAATACCGGCGACAATATTTGCGTTGACCTCGTACGGCGCTTCGTCGTCAGTTACCGCCGCAATAATCGAAAACCCTGCTTGGCTAAGCTCTTTTCCCCATCCATGGGGAGATAGTCGTGGGCCGCCAATTCTCCCATCACTCTCTCCCAGCCACCAACCGGGAAGGATACCAAAAACTAAGCCTATGAAATTGGTAGTAGGCAACCCCTCTTCAAGGAAGAGTTTGCCCTGAGGGTGCATAAGCTGCCGAACATTTTTTAAAGTTTGAGCAAGAGATGGAGTAGCATGAAGCACATTGGAGGCAATGACCAAGTCGTAGTCTCCCGCACGGAACCCTTGCTGAGTTGGATCCTTAGTGATATCCAGCACCGAGAAGGTAATGTTTTTATATGCAGAGAACCTCATTCTCGCCGGTCCAAAGAAGCCAGAGGAGATGTCTGTGTACGTGTAGGTGGCAAACATTTGCTCACCCCCCGGAGATGTCAAGCTGCTCAATACTTGAGATGTAAGTCCACCTGTTCCAGCGCCGATTTCTAAAATCCGCAGGTGCGTGTTGGAAATTCCCATAGCAGCAAAGTAATTTTCGCGATCAAAACGTGTCTCTGACAGGGAATAGAAGTTTGTTAGGTTGTTGTTGGCCATTAGGATGTCGAGAGGGTCTACACTCCCATCGAAGAGACCACAACAACTGTCGACAACACTTTCGATCAGCTGTGAGATACTATTGAAAGATTCATGACTGATCCTCTGTTTTGTTTCATCCATCAATAGTCGCCTTCCTCTCTTGTCGAGTAGGAGAATTTCTTGCCAATAGTCAGGTGGCGTTTTTTGTGTTCCAGAAATCTCGTTATCGACCCAAGCACGGAATTTCTCAAGATGCTCAGAACCAGGAGGAATACTTGAAAGTCGCTCTTGAATCTCCATTATAGCAATCCAGGCGTACTTTTCAGTATCCTTGAAATAAGCTCGGTCGTTGTGCCCTCGTGGGCGAATGAGACTGCTCACGTTGCATAGATCGTAATCCGGGTACCAAACTAGCCTGGCTTCTGACGCTGGATCATAGTATTTCGACTCTTCACGTCCACCCAAGAGTGAAAATTCTCCACCAGTTAAAGATAAAAGGACACGACCATCTTCAATCAGCAATGTGTCTCCGATGATTGACCCCGCTCCAGACTTGGAGACATTCGCTTCTGCTCTCCAATGGTCCAACTCCTTTCTTGCACACATGTACAAATTGCCAATGCCAGTCGGCACATATAATTTATTTATATTTCGAAGTAGCCCTCCTGATTTTGCAATGGCAACTAGCTGTAGACAGTGGTCGATTGTCGATGGATGAAGACAATAGGAGGACTCCGAAGGCTGAGGGGCGGTAAGCGTTGCCACTGCAACTTCTGTGCCCGGGAGAGCAGAGATATTCGACAACCCCTGAAACACTGGTCCATAGTTTAACCCGATTTTTTTCAGTGCCGCATACGGTGGTGGAACTCTCCTTGGTAACGTTGTAATTTCTCTTGCTAGAACATCGCTGGCTCCTCCGGCTTTCACCTGTCCCACACAGTGCTTGGTCCATGTGCCGCGGCTATATGACAAGACTGCGAAATCAAACCAACTAGAGTCAAGAGTTTTTGTCAATCGCATAGGCTTGAGGCTTGTCATCAGCTCGGCATCGTTGTCCTCGTGGAGCACAAGTGCCGTCATGACCACAATGTCTCTGAAGGTTAGATCTTCACTCTGAGTGAGTTGCCTCAATGCTTCTGCAACCATCGCAAGGTAGCCAGCGCATGGGAAAACAATGTCATCGATAATCTTGTGGTCTCTAAGCCATGGTAAGTTTTCAAGGGCGATGATATTTCGCCACGTTGGCTCGATATCGTTTCCTTCGATGATGCGGGAGCCAAGCAGCTCATGGTGCACAAACTTGCGCAACCTCCTAATAAAAAGTCAGGTACAGATTATTCGTTGCAATCTAATGATTTCACTTACCAATCTCGACTGACTCTTCCTTCATCCGAGGTTACAGCATCATGGCGCCAGCGATATAACGGTAAACCCTTCACAACCTGCCCTTTCTTGTACAAAGCCGCAAAGTCTATTGGAATTGTATGGAGGTGTAGTCTGCCAACTGCATAAAGAAGGCTTTCTGTACAGTCTTTGGCACGTATAAGCGATGATACATATGAGGGCTGATGTTGTACGTTAACTGCTTGAAATATCTGTCGAAGCGGTCCAGAAAGAGCCGAGTGGGGGCCTATTTCCAGGAACAGCTGTGCATTCGACTGACTCTCCATATAATTTATGACAGCAGTAGAGAATAAAACTGGCGATTCAAGATTTCGACGCCAGTACGAAGAGCCAAGCTCTCCCGCTTCTCTGACAATAGTCGCAGTCACACTTGAGAAGAGCGGAACACGAGGAGCCGTGCTCTGTACATGCCCCTTAAGCAGAGTCTCGTATTCTTCGCCGATATCCTGCATATGCGGTGAGTGGTAAGCCACAGTAACAGGAAGCTGCCGTAAGAAAAGCTCAGGCCGATCTGTTTGCAGCCTCTTGGCAACCTCATCTACCTTTTCTGGATTGCCTGATAGAGTTACACTTATAGGACTGTTTTCACAGGCGATAGTAATCCCGTCCGAAATATAGGGGTCAATATCAGCACGTCCAAGTCCAACTGATATCATTTTACCAGGTCTATTGACTTTCTTAGCCACTTGACCACGGTAGTAAGCAATTTTTATTGCTTCTTCCGCTGTTATCGCATTCGCAGCATAAGCAGCGGCGATTTCTCCACTTGAATGCCCTGTAACTGCAGAAGGGGATATACCTAGGCTCTTGAATAAATTTACAAGGCCTATTTGAATAGCAGAGCACAGAGGCTGAGAAAACTCCGCATTGTTCAGCGGGAAAATGTCGCCAGTTTGTAGTAAAACATCTTCGATATTCCATGGCGCCGGAAGAATAGGCAAATTGCGCAGCACCCTGCTCAGTTGACGCATATCTTCTGCAAATGATGGAAAGTCCAGCAGTAGCTCCTTGCCCATACCTGCCCATTGTGAACCCTGACCCGTGAAAGCAAAAACGATTTGAGGGGTTATTTTCGGCTTCGGGACAACCACAGGCTCTAGATCTTTATCCCCATTGGTGACACAGAAACTTCGATGGTTAAGATGCTCTCTCCTTACGGACAATGTATATGCGAGATCTCGCAGCTTGGTTCCCTGGAGGTTTCCATAGCGCTCAAAGTCAGCTGTTATCTTGCGCAGGGAATCTGTGTTGTTGGCCGAGAAGAGGAGCAGCTCCGGTCTTGCCCTCGAATTGAAGATCGCCTTTCCACACCGACCCGTCAGTAACTCCGCCCAGCTTTTCAAATTCGAGAAAACTCAGACTTACCGCTTCTTGGGTCTTATCAGAACACCCGGCACGAAGTGAAGATGCAGAATCAAGAATGACATGAGCATTTGCACCTCCTATGCCGAATGCATTGATGCTAACTCTCTCTGCGAACCCGACTGGCCATGATACCGGCTCTATTGGCACCCTTAAATTTGCCTCTTCAAAAGGGATCTTCGGATTTGGCGTGCAAAAGTTGATATTAGGCGGGATAACTTTTCTCTCGAGAGCAAGTACTGCTTTAATGATGCTTGTCAAGCCAGAGGCACCTTCAGAGTGGCCAACGTTAGGTTTGACACTCCCTATATATACACCCTTATGACCCCCGAAAACATTTGCAATGGCGCCTACTTCCAGGGGGTCCCCTACTGCTGTCCCAGTGCCGTGACATTCCACAAACGCCGTACGAGAATGGTCTTTTATCCCAGCAACCACATATGCATGTCTAATCATGGCCTCGTGGCTTTCCAAACTTGGCACTGACATGCTACTGGTCTTGCCATCTGCGTTGCTAGCGGTTGCCCGAATAACAGCGCGAATCGGGTCTCCATCACGAATAGCATCGCTCAATTTCTTGATGTAGATGGCATTGATCGCCTCACCACGGGCATATCCATCAGCCGCCGCATCAAAAGTTTTGCAAGTTCCGTCCGGCGAGAGAACACCTTGTTCCGACATAGCAATAGTCATACTAGGGGCCATGATAATATTTGTGCCGGCAACGATAGCAGAGGTACAGCTACCGCTTTGAATTGCCTCACACGCTGCGCCGGTCAGTATAGAGCGATTCTTGAAATATCTAAGTTCAAGACTAACCTTGGTGAAAAGCAATTAAAGATGATGAGCACCCAGTCTTCAACGTCATACTAATTGCCACATTAGCATAAGGCAATTAACCAAACTCAAACCGAACTACCATACCTTGGACCCCTTAGGTCGTACTCATATGAGACCCTATTCGAGATTGCAAAGTCTCCGCTACCAGAAGTACGGAACCGCCCTCTCTGTTGAGGGTCTCGCATCATAATATCTTGCCAGTCCTTCGATATGTTAGATATTGGTGGGGTTTAGAACAATATGGAGACTTACTCCTCCCCATACACCGACAAAGCATCCTATTTTATCACCACGCCATCCAACTTGCCCACTGCTTTCCATACATTCCCAGACAACTTCCAGTAACATTCTCTGCTGTGGATCAAGACTTCCCACCTCGGCTTTGCTCATCTTGAAGAATGAAGTATCCAGTTGCTGCAAACCATCATTTTCCGACAAAAAATGGCCATGTTGCACTCCGACACAACCTGGCCTTGGGGATGGGCTGTAAAACCCGTCGACATTGTACCTATTAGCTGGTATGGTACATCGAGTATCTTTTTTTTGCATGAGCAGTTCCCATAGGGATTCGACAGAGTGGATGTCGCCCGGAAGGCGAAGGCCCATCCCAACTATAGCAAGACGGGGGCTTCCATCATTGATATCCAAGTATTTCAACTTGTCCTCGACGAAATAGTCATCTACCACAGCATCACCCATTTGAGAAGTAGTGAGAGTTGTTAAGTTACTAGAGGGTTCAAAAAAAGTTGAGTCGAGTAGTTAGTTCCTCTCAAAGCTGCAGAACGCTTTACTTAAAATAAACAAGGTCCAGAAAGGCTTCAAATATAGGAGGGTGTATCCGAATGGAACGGCTATGTAGTATTTAGTCTTGGATGTAATAAGGCCGAGACATCTAACTGCAACAGTCCTGTCGTGTTATATGTCCAAGCGAGTAGAATTCCGTATGGCGTTGGCCCCAGGATCTGACTGGCTTGAGGTGTAATTTAGCCTGCGCGGAACCGCGCACCGTTACACAGTCTTCTGAATCAACGTTCTGCTGTACGCGTTCACAAGTCTCATAATTGTTTCTAACTGTACCAATTTCGGCGCCGAGCAAACCACTTGTTTAAACTTTAATCGCCAACTGTCAAACTGGCATGCTGGCCAGTGGATTGACCAACCGGTTGACCTTGGGGCCGGGACATGTCTTAGGCACAAGGGAAACAATTTAGGACGATCGTTATAAAACTTTTGTTTGAGAAAATCATTTCAGTTACACGTTAAATCCCAGGCAGCCACACACCTCAACCCTGTGGGGACCTACGTCACAATCATGAGGGTAAATTGACGATCATGGGAGCTAGTTTTAGATAATGATAGCCATAAAATACCGATAACAGACGCGTTGAGACACAACAGCAGACAAAAAGAGAAAATCGGGGGAGGCAAAATTGGCCGATCCCATCCACCCTTTTGTACCCATAGTCGTCCCTGGACTGGCCGACTTTGTGATTTATTTTCCATCTACATATTTTGATACCCTCGTCTTCACCAATAATCAGGACAGCGAAAACCTTCTAAGTTTTAGAAAAAAGGCATAAGCTACATCGGCCCGGTTCGCATTTCTTTAAACCGTAACGAGCAATTTTGGTTATTAACTTTAATCAGAGACGCCTTCACCTCTGAGATGTTCGACCGAAACCTAGATACGCTCAATTATGAAGATATGGAGCAAACTGCCTGGAAGCCGAGAAAAGGCGAATGGTTGATAATCATATGTCTTTCAATAATCACACTCATAGTGGTAATCTAATGCAGTATTGTCTTGAAGAAGTGAATGCTAAACTTATAACAGGCCATTGACGCAACTATCTTAGTTCCGGCCCTCCCAGTGAGTTATATGCTTTAGCACTAGGCCACAACCTGATTCTGAGCATAGATAATCGCGGCCTCGCTCCATGGCACAGCAACCGACGCATTTTGGGCGGGTTCTTCGTATCTGCTCGCCTGCGCTGTCGTTCAGCCGTTTGCGGTAAAATTGTCCGATATCTTTGGGCGGCAAATACTGCTCCTGTCGTCCATATCGCTTTTCACTTTTGGGACCGTTATTTGCTGTCTCTCTCAAAATTTTACGCATTTTCTTATTGGTCGTTCTATACAAGGAATCGGCGGCGGTGGTTGTATACCCTTAACACATGTAATCATTACGGATATTGTTCCTCTACGCCATCGTTCTACCTATCTAATATTTCCTTCCTTATCCTGGGCAGTGGCATCTATCACTGGGCCTCTTATTGGTGGTCTTTTTGCCGAACATGCTACCTGGCGTTGGGTGTTCTATTTGAATTTTCCCTTTTGTGCTATTGGCATTATAATGACGCTTTTGGTCGTCAACATGGATCATAGCATGTCAGAGCTTCCTTTTAGACAAAAGCTAGTACTAGTTGATTGGATTGGTGGAGGCTTATTTGCAGCAAGCATGTGCAGCATTTTAATTGGAATTACCTGGGGCGGCTGTCGATATAATTGGGCCGGTGTACAAATATTGGTCCCCATCATCGTCGGTCTGTTTGGCATGGTCGCCACCGTGGTCTGGGAGAGCCGTGTAGCCAACCCTTTTCTCCCTCTTCGACTTTTCAAGTCCCGCTCCGGGGCAGTCTCTTATTTCTGCGCCTTTATACAGGGCCTCCTCGTGAGTCAAAGACTTGGTCAATATTAACAGATTTACTAATAGTTCTTAAAGCTATTTAGCATGCTATACTATCTTCCATTCTTCTTCGAGTCTTGCAAAAACCTCAGTCCGACATTAGCGGGGGTTAGTCTCATTCCAGTCACAGGTGCCTTAATACCAACTGCTATCGTCATTGGTATCATCATCACAAGGACTGGTAGCTATCGCTGGGCACTGTGGTTTGGGTTTGGTTCAACGATGATTGCACACGGCCTTTTTATACTTCTCAACGCACAAATATCATCCCGTCAATGGATCCCATTTTTCCTGCTCGGTGGATGCGGCCATGGTTTAGTTGTCATGTCGCTAACAATATGTATTCAAGCTATTGCTAAGCCCGAGGATGCCGCCTACGCAGCAGCAACATATACCTTTGTCCGAACGATAGGCATGTGCGTTGGCGTTGCTATTGGCGGATGCATCTTCCAAAACGCTTTGTCTAATAAATTGAAGGATCTTGCGTTGCCGATTAGTGTTGCGAATAACGCTGAAGCCTTTCTCGCCATATTGAAAACTCTCGACCTCGATTCCCCGATTCGTCAAGCCTATGTTACCGCATATTCGTACGGTTTTAGGCAGGTTTTTATCGCTATGACAGCAATTGTCGGGGTGGGTGGTATATGCAGTCTTCTTATTCAGGAATTTACTATGGACAGAAACCTGGAATCTGAGCACGTAATCCGTAGATAGGGAATGGAGCTTTAGTGCAATATATTTCAAGGGCGCTAGAATTGCCCGAGTTCACACGGAACTTCTAGTCTCGAGAACGACTAAGTGACAGTTTAGTTTATCATCCTTACGACGACTTTGACGGAGCCGAGCGTGCATAACATGACTCCTGTCTCGTCCACGTTGTAGGCATTCTCCGGCAGTATGGCTGGATCATGTAATACCTTTCCGATCACCTCAATCCAGTGTGATCTTACTATAGATGGCAAGTATATAGTTGGCCCAGGGATCACGGCGATTGTCGCGCGTCTTGACGCTGTCGTCAAGTTTAGCAGGCCTTCGGCATCGCACTACTTAGAACGGGAGAAAGCCATCTTTCCGCGCCTTGGTCGCGACCACAGGGGCGTCGGTCGTTCGATATTTTGGCGTCCTGGAAAACGCTATTATCTTGCAGTTTGCGAGCTAGACATCTATTAGGCAATACCTTGGGACAGTACTCCCCAGGAGGGGGAGCTGCCCGACCACGTGCGAGGCCAACTACTACTTAGGTACATGTACCTAGGTAGTACGCGAAAGGCGAGTCCGACGCCGTCGAAGGAAACCAACTCGTAACTATAAACGATCTAGTTGCTTCTACTAGTCTTATCAGTAGTAGATAAGACGTTAGTTTAGTAAAGCAGTACTGTTAGGATTATAAGTTAACGAATAAGCCAAAGTAGTAACTATAAGTAGATAATAGCTAAAGTAACTCAGCAACTATCGTACCCGATACTAGTAAGCTTGCTCCTACATTATTACGTTTACCCCCC